TATACAGTGATGGCAAAATTAACAGCATATATTCGCAACAGACATTTAACCAAATATAAGGAATGGCTTCCATACATACTATATATTATGCAGCAAGGTAAATATAAATATCTAGAGTTTAGTTTTTAAGGAGAAAAAGAACTGACTAAAGAATTCTTCAGTCAGAGACACAGAACCTTTTAAAATGTCTATAAATATTGTACATTAATTGGAGTATGACAAAGAAGTTAGAAACTAATATTTATCTATAATGTTTTTAGGTGGGTTTTTTTTTTGTATTCTCAAACAACAAATATAGGAGATTTTGACACGTTGCTCAAAGATTTAAATTCTTATATTGCTAAATAATGTACTTAAATGTAATTTAAAGATTTTTATGGTTAATTTCTAATCAGTGATATACTGAGCACTAACGGTACTTGATAATTCCTTTGTCCATTTAATGATATTATATTTCTGTACCATTTTTTTCTTTTCTCCTTTTGCTTGTTTGCTTGCTTTTTCTTTTAAAAATTGTTAATATATTTTTTTTAGAAGAAGAACCTAAAGATTTGGTGCAGTGATTCTGGAAGGAAGTCCACAGAATACATAATGTGGCTCACTCATAATGATCTAAAAGAGCTGTATGGTGCTTTATTTAAGAAGCCTGTAGCCCAGCAGTAGCGAATTATATGCAGAAATATCTCCACCAAGACAATGGCCTGGTTCATGCATAACATTAAGTGTAGCATGGTTTATTTTTGATTTGTATGATATATAAAACCCAGCCATTATGATTTAGCATTATGTGAATCCCAGCTCCCAATGGATGGCAGCAGGAGGTGGACACAGAACATGAAGCTGTACATGGGTGATCCTGTAGTTGGCAATATTGAATGAATTCATTCTTTTCCTCCAATATGTTTTAAGTGCTGCCATTCAGTTTGCTGTATGAAGTCAGCAAGTCATAATTAGTCATCCTTAGTATGGAATAATATCTCTAGATGCTTTTGTAAAAAGAAGATAAAAAAAAAATCTTTTAATCCCATTGATCCACTAAACCACATACATTCTGATATATACCCTCTAATCTCAATTTAATCCTCCTTTAAAAATCATGCTTTCAAGAAACACCAATGACTCTAACTGTGGAGCATTCATCAGTTCTAACAGAGACTGAAATCATAGCTTGTATGATAGAAGCAAAATCTCCAACTGTCAAACAGGTTTTTCTTTTTCTTTTTCCTTTTCTTGGCTAGAAAACTGGTGAAGTGACTGGGACAGCACAAACATGCATTCATTTTATCATTCCACCTACATGAAGAAAACTGTTCCTCCTTTTTGGGTTCCCCCTGTTTAAATCCTAGTTATTGTACCTTGTTACATTGTTTGGACAAATATTTTGCACATAATGAGGTACCTTACAAGAAAATGAACTCCCATCTCCAAATGCACTCTTGATCTTTTCAAAGATTTAACATGCAGTGTTCAATAGGAAGTAATTAATGGTGGGTGGGGGTTCATGTTACCTTCACTAGTAACAGAATATTAGAGTAATGTCTGAACTTACAACTTCCTAAACATGGTATTTGGTACCTGGATATTATATCCAGTGGTTTGCTGAGTCTTGCCAGCACAGCAGGATTTGAAGTTGGATATGACTTGGAGCTGGATAAAATATTACGTAGAAAGATTCTGCAAGTCTTGAAGTCCACAAGTCTTGAAGGAAAGCTTGAATGAAGAATAGCAATATTTTTGATAGGATAGTTAAACGTTACTATCTTTGCAGACTTGACAGCACATGTTACTATCTTCCAGTATTAATAGATAGATGTAAAACTACATGGTCATACACACGCATACAATATACCCACATGTTTCAATGTCCTTCTAGAATGATGTTGAATGTAGATGTACATCTAACACTCTAGTCAACACCTCAGAGATTTAGAATTACACCTAATATGAAATATTTACCCCACTCAGATTCAAAACACATGCTTTAAGAAATTCCTGCCATATTTTTTATGCTTCAGTTTCCTAAAGCAAAGAAAGAAACAATGGCTAGGGAAGATTGCTAACTGCTTTTTCTGGCAGAGTTACCAATTCTTTGACTGCTGCTTGATAAAAGTGATTTGACAAGTGAAATATTTCTTAGGAAGTAAGATAAAGTAACTACTCCCCCCGCAACTCCTTCATCTGCTGAATTTTTACTTGTTGGGCAATTAAAAATAAGATCCTTCTGGACATGAGAAAACCTGTGAGGCTGAAATGCATGCCATTAATTATTGGTTTTTAACATGAAGATAATGCTTTCATGAAGTTTCCTGTTTTGAATCAGCAAGGCAGGAAGATCAAGCAAGCTCTGAATAATCTGGTTGTCACCTTTGAAGCTCTTCATGGCTTGGGACCGGGTTACTACAGGATCATCTCTACCCAGTGGTGTCTACCCTTCCTGTTAGATTCCCTGGGTACTGTCAGCTAAGGAGTGTTGGCTAGTGGGGCCCAGAAGGAGACCCTTTTCTGCCGTGGTGCTCACCCTGTGGAACATCCTCCACTCTGAGATTAGATTGGCCCCATCCCTGCTGGCCTTCTGAAGGCCTTGAACATTTGGTTTTGTGCCTGAGTCTTGGGTCCGGGGTGTGTGACAGAGTCCATCTCTTGGGTATGTTGATAGTTTGGATGATGCCTGGCTGCTATGTATTTTATTTTTTATATTATATATTTTATCTATTTTATTGTAAACTGACTAGAGTCACATATGTGAGATGGATCACTATAAATTGAATGAATGAATGAATATCTAAACTTTCTTGAAGCTGGTATGCTAGAAGGTGAAATAGCTGTATAAGTAATCTAGAGACATTTTTCTTTCTTTGAAATTGATTTCTTATTGTTAATATTTCAGGCGGCTGAACGTGGCATAATAAAGGATTTGATCTATAGTCACAAACCTAATCGTCGTTCTGCATATATAAAATATGCAGAGATTAGCCATCATGATACTATTAAGGGTTGAACTCTCACTAAGCAGCCTGCAGCCTGGTAGTCTCCAGTTGTGTTGCTGTTGTACACAGTAATCCATGCTGTAGCAACATTCAGGATTTTTGTTCAGGGTTATGTTTTGAGCTACCCTTGAAGATCTTTGAAGTCTGGCTCTTTTGGAAGACTTCAGTGATGGGATGGAAGGATGACACTACCCCCAAGAATATAGACACTACCGACTGATGATTTTAAAATAATTATTTTTCTTTGAGTATTGTTGGTTTTCTTGGTGTGTTTTTTAAACCTTACAGGAACTGTAAGTCATTCAGTTTTCATTCACACAGCATAGATTGAATGAGACACACACACAAACACACACACACACACACAAACACCACTTTTGAAGGCTGTCATGAATTTACACTAAGCTCAGAATACAGCTGCTAGGACCAGATGGGAAATTGGTCCTGCACGTTAGGGAATATATTATACCAGTTGTTAAAGAACTGGATGGGCTTCCTATTTCAAAGCACAGATGTTGGTGTCATGTTTATGGAATTCCTTTTCCAGAGAGGCTCATCTAATAAGTTACTGTTATCTTTGAAACCAGGTGTTCTTAGTTTCCCAAGATTACTTGACTTTGTATTGATTTTATGAAGGACTCTATATAAATGACATAAATACAGAAAGATACATAAATGTTGCACCCTACTTGTATATCAGTAAATTTTGAAAAGCAATCTGATACTGATATTCAAGTAGATTTTCATAGCTAGTATATCAGTCTTGCTTTGTTTGGAGCAAGTGATACTTTAATAAAGGCACCATAGTTAGAGAATGTACATGATACATAGTATGTGTATACATGTATATATGTATGTATGTCCAGGGTGTGCAGTAGGATTCAGGCTTCACAAGGTGAAATTGACCTGCTGTTTAATGATGTGGTTGAATAATAGTAGCAGTCATACTACCTTCCCGACTTGCCTGGGCTTTCTACAACATTATATTTTATAGTAATAGACAACAGTAGGTGAAACTGGCTTTTATGATATGTCTGACGTGCCATTTTAACAGTTCTCACACCAGATATGGTATTAGCAGGAGAATAGAAATTCAGAATATGTTATATGACTTTAACGTTCATTTTATTTGGAGATTTTAATTATAGAACACCAAATATTAAATGCAGTGGGCAAGATACAAGCATAGAGCTTATTTTCCAAAATAAATAGATCAGCATTGATTTAGCATCTTCCCTTTATGGAAAGAGAATGTTTTATCTCCCTTATTTGTGCATTCGTGATCTATACTGTTTGCCTCAAGATCTAAAGAGAGGGATCAGAAGCTCTGATTCTAAGTTTTAAATCAGAAGAACTTGTCTAAGGGGCATAATATTAAAAATGGCCCTAGAGTCTAGGGATTCTATAAGAATTCACAGGGAGAGTTCTACTAAGTTCAGAATCAGCTTTGTGGACTGTCATTTGCCTAGCTCTCCTAAAACAATATGCAAATAAAATTCACTTCATCTTAAGCCTTGATATCATTATTCAGGACATGATGTTTTGGTCTCTGTTAATTTGAAGCTAATCCTATGAGTGGTTTGGATGGATAGATTTTTTTTTTTCTCTTCAGCATGGAGAAACTGAGATCTCTAATCCAGGTCCTGCGCTTGCTCCCAGAGGATGATGTAGGTTTTGTGTGTAATAAAATGTAAAACATGAGCCCACTCATCTTCTCTGACTCTGTACTACAGAAAAGGTACTGGAGAGGACTTGTTCTTGACTTTTGGAATCTCTCCAAAGCCAGCGAAGGATTGTTAAAATCCTCTACTCTTCTCCAGGCTTAAAGAAAAAATGAGTTCAGTAACATTAAAACATGACAAAGACTTTTATGCACCCCAGGGTACTGAATAATGTTTTAATCCTTAGTGCAATGTGTATGTGGTGTTTGTGACATTTAGATTTTTTTTAAAAGTTATCTTCTATATATGGTCATTACAAATCCAGTAATTTTTTCTTTCTTTCCTTTTCCAGGCTCTTTACAATTCAATCAAAAATGAAAAGCTTGAGTGGGCAGTGTAAGTATCTTATGCTGAACTAATAAGCATTCAAATGATTCCTTTTATGGTATTCCACTTGCTACACCAGCAGCATATGGAACAGATTCTAGAAATCGTAGAGATCTACTCCAGCAGTTCAGGAGAGTGAACCACCAACTTTTATCCATTCATTCATTCATTGGACAGCCTTAATTCATTCATGAGAGCTAAAACAGTACACCATTGGGGAGGCCATTCTTTATTAGGACCATAATTCCATTTGCAACCTGAGGATAATAACATGAAGAATAAGAATACGTCTGAAAGCTGGTTGAATTCTGTAAAATAATGTTTACCAAGCTTTTAATCTTCTTATTGTGGAGTTCTTGGTGCTCTCTGAGCTAGGTTGTTTGCTTGTAGATGTTTCATTACCCAACTAAGTATCATCAGTGGGAGTAGACATCATCACTGAATAGTGATGGGTAATGAAACATCTGCAAGAAAACAACCAAGCTCAGAGAGCACCAAGAACTCCACAGTTTAACCCTGAGCTACAGATATTCTCTTCTATTGGAGTCTTCTTGTTTATTAAAAATTGTGCCACCGGTTACTCATATACCCAGTATGGTGTACCCCCATACACACATAACATTTGAAGGTAAACATAAACTTTTACATCCCAAGTTAAAAGGCAGAAAATAATAATTTCCAAAGGAAGATAAATGTAATTAACCGGCTCCTAAAGAATTGGTGTGATGATGTAATGAATGAAATGAACTGATCCTGGAAATCCCTGAGTGACTTTGAGCCAGTTGTTAACTTTCATTCTCATTTCATAGGGCTATGGTTGGGAGTATAAAATGAGGAGGGACCCCATATCCTTCACCCTGAACACTTACGAAAAAGGCAAGACATACATCTTATGTAGAGACAAGTCGCCTTTCAAATTCTCCCTATCATGGTCCATTGAGAATGACCAAAATCAGTTCCTGAATTAGGTCCCATCTCTGAGCAGGGACAGGAACCTGCACAGTTGGGATAGCACAGGCACGATACAATCTTGTAGCTAAAGGCTAACTCAGTTTTTATTACTTCCGCTCTTCCCATATTACCCTTTGCCTAATCTCTTGGAAAAACAGACACTGATGATGCTTATTAGCTAGATGCAAGAAGTTTGATGCTTCTTCCTTTTCTTAAGAGGATGTAATTGGCCATAGATGGGCACAGAATGAGACAGTGTTACTGCATGGGCTCTTGGTATTCCAGCATGCAAAACATGCTGGATACATACAAAATGGTGGCTTTCCCAAGTCTAAGTCAGTCTTCCTCATGGAATTATTTCTGCCACCTGCTTTACAAATATAAGCCCTACATGGCATAAGACCTTGTTACCTGAGGGGCCACCTGTCTCCTATAGCATCTGCCTAGCCAGTTCAATCCTACAGGGTTGGCATACTCCGGGTTCCTTTGATTAAATGATGTCATCTGTTGGGACCCCAGAAGCACGCCTTCTCTATCGCAGTACCTGCCCTCTAGAATGAAGTTCCCCCAAGATCCAGATGGCCCCCGCTCTGCTGCTGTTTAGAAGAGTCATGAAGAGTTTTGGTGAGGGAGTATGAGACCCCTGCTTCGTTCCATCTGGTCTGTTGCATTTGCCATCTTTTATCTTTACCTTTTATGTTTCATTGATTTTATTGTAATTTCTTTGATTGTTGTGAGCTGCCCAGAGTCACTGAGAGTTGGGAGCTGCCCAGAGTCACTGAGAGTTGGGTGGCATACAAGTTTAATAAATTATTATTGTTGGTTGCACAGTCAGCCAGATGTTTACTGTAAACTGGATTTGGCATTTTTATCCACCTATCAAATGATGTTGTTGTTGTTATACTTTATTGAAATACAGTTTAAACTTAATTGCAATGCAAGATGTTTGATGAGTAGGAGAATTTGGTAATACATCTATTTGGTCATTAGGCTCAGTCTGCGCAATAGGGAACAGAGTCTCCTGAATGTGTAACAGAAGGATAGGCTGTCAAACCAAATTATTTCTTGCAAGCCAGGTGCCTGCTTGTTATTCTAGTAAGCAAAACGAGTTGTTAACGATGAAAGGCTGCTTGTAAGATTGGAAGACATTTCTATTTGGGTTGGAAACTTTATCTTAAAGAGAGAAATTCAATCCTCAGTTAATCTGTGGCGGCATGAATAAAGCACATGCTTAGTTTTCTGCCTTTTATCTTAGAAGCATTGTGTCAGAACTGCTGGATAGAAGAAACACGGCTTGGGTCAGGTTTCTTCCTGTTGGCTTGCTGTCTGGGGTTTGTCTTATGATTAACTGTGGATAGCTTGACAACAAACCAATATTAAAGATAATTCACTGCAGGAGGCCTAATGTGCACCACTTCAGCTGCATTCAGGAAGCTCACAATTTTATTTTGTTTATTTAATAGATTTATATAGCCTCCCATCTCACAAAACATGACTTTGGGCAGCACACAATATATTCACAATTAAAACCATAAAATGAACAACATAAATAAAGGGTAAAAACTCAAGAACGCGGGAGAACACAGTCATTTAGCATTACATAACCATCTTGCAGGCTCACCATGGGATCCCCAACTGGTATTTGAACCCAAAGGTGAGAAGGTCAGAGTTTGCCAGGGCATTTTAACCACTCGCCACCCTGTTCATCCTTGTTCCTTAATTTCCTTTTCATGCTGAGGGGAATCATGGCTGCTGGGTAGAGGTCTTTTTCGAACAGAAAAAGGCACTGTCTATATTAATATTGATAAGACTGCTTTTATGGGATTATGTTTTGCTGCAGTAATGTATGCAAGTTTTCATCTTACACCAAGAAAGTCTAGCAGTATACCAGCATGCATTTCCCTGCACTGCTGGAAGCTGGTTAAATAAATGATACCATAATTATCTCTTCTGTCTTTCTAAGTCTCTTAGACTTCTAGTCAATATCAAATTGCTCTTGATGATAATAGAAGTGAATTATTATTTTTTTAAAAATTGTTATTGCTTTTACAGAAGTTCCTTATCAGAGTTATACTGAGAGAATTAGACAGATCCTAGCCTTCAAAGAGTTTGAATTAAGGCTTATTAATTATCAGATGATGCTTGGCTTCTGGGGAAAGGAAGCAAGGGGACCAGCGGCAATGAGAGGGCAGGCAGTAATGCCTCAGTTGTGAAAGGCATGTGGAGGGAATCTAAGGGTAGACCTCCCTCAGGGAAGGCAGACTCAATGTTTGAACTTGATTTCTCCTTCCAACCCCCAATGTTTAGGCCAGATGCTAGGTCTGGCCTCCAGATTGTCATTGTCACTGGCCTCCAGCTACTGCTAAATGCCAGGTGAATTTGTAACAGAGCTGTCTCATCCATGATCTGGATGAGGCAGCCAACCAGGCATGTGTTACAGAGGCCTATGTGGCCCAGAAGGAGATGTTCCCCTCTCAGAAATATGCCCATGAAGCCAGGGTAGGGGGTAGCTGTTATTGTCAGCCCTGCTAGGTAGATCAGACCAGGAAATCAATTCCACAGGAAGGCTAAAAGTATGTTTATTGAGAGTGGCTATAATAACAGAATCTTGAAAGTCTGATTGTGCTTTACCTCCTCCTCCTTATACTTCAGTGAATTAGGGAGGTCTCTGAGCCTTTTCTGAATATTATCTGTCTGTTGCAGACTTAAGATGTGTTTCACTCCTTGTTGCTTTGGTAACAGAGCTTACGTATCTCCATCAAAGTCATCTTCCTTGCTCTCTACAGTTGTCATCTAAGAAGACTTAACCACTCTCAGAGGTACTGCACCACAGATAACTGGATGTGAGACTCTCTGGTTGAAATCAGGCTTGAAGAATCAGTTGGATTTGTGGCTGGTGTCCTGGCCTTCCTGCTGCTCAGTGACAGCCTTGCCTGAGTTGCTTGAATTCACTGCTGGATTGGCAGTGAAGTCTCTGGGGCTATTGTTCCTAGCAACTTTAACCTACCCTAGTGTAGCACTGAGTCTGGAGAAGTTCAGGAGTTTGTGGCCACTGTGGCCACCACAGATCCTATCCCAGATTATTGAGGGCCTGACTCACATTGGGAGTCACATGTTGGATCTTTTTTTGTTGTTGTTGTTTCAGGGTAATTGTGGCATAATCTAACTGATTATTCCTAATTGGAATAATCCAATCATGACAACTGTTCTTTGTCATGATTGGATTATTCTCTGATTGCTTTTCAACTGGCTGGTGGGTTATTATATTGGCCTACCTAAGACTAATGGTCCCAGATGGGTTCCAGAGGGAGCTTGGGAGTCTTAGTTGCTACCTGGAGTAGGCGGGTGGCAGGAGCTTTGGATTGGATTCTTCCTATGTGCCTTTTCCCCATTTGTCAATCCCAGGGGTCTTCTGGTTTTCCAAGGAGCTCTAAGGGATGAAACAACAGAAGAGATGTGTAGGGTACCATTGGAAGACAACGAAGAGTGAATCTGTCCTATTATGTGTAAGAGTCCACATGAAGCATTACATTGTCACAATAAAGCAGCAAAATGTGGTTATTTATCCACTATTGTGTCTGCAGTAGCCTTATTTAAGGTGATCTGCTCAAGAAGGAGGAGTCACAGAAATATCTTCAAGGCCACTATGAGAATATTCTAGGCACCTGTCAGATAAAGTCACGCAGATCTGCTCAGAGTAATATTCTGAATGAGCAAGTCCATGCGAGTTGACTGAGGCATTGACTTGTCCTGTTACCTGGGAAACATTTGACCTTCTGGTTCCAGAGGAAGTGGACAGGATCTTTGGGACTGTTAACCAAGCCACCTATCCTTAGATCTATGTCTCTCCTGGTTAGTTAAGATTGTCTGAAGGGGACATGTAACTGGGTCCATGTGGTGGTGAATATATCCTTGAGTGAGTGTAGGCAGTAATGCATCCCCTCCTCAAGAAGCTATCACCAGACCCAACAGTGCCGGACAATTTTCATCCAGTCTTTGTAGGGAAAATGTTTGAGGTGTTCAGGTTGCAACTTCAGAGGAGCAGGGATGTTGTGGATTATCTGAACCTGCTTCAGTTGAGTTTCAGACTGGGACTTAATATGGAACCAGTATTGATCATGCTTGCTGACGACTGATGGTGGCACTTGTTTGAGGTGGTGTACCTGTCCTGGTTTTCCTTGATCTCCCAGCAGCTTTCAATATCATTGATCATGGTATCCTTCTCAACTGTCTGCTGGGATTGAGAGTGAGAGGCAGGGTGTGGTGGTGGTTCTCCTTCTTCCTCTATGGATGGTTCCAGTTGGTATTGACAAGGGGTAGAGGTTGAGTCAGTGTGCCACTGAGCTATATATGGTGCTAATACCCAGTTGTACATCTCAACCCAGGCTGGCCAAATGATTATCCCAGTACTTGAAGTCTGTCAGAATCTGGATGGGGAGGAATAACCAGGACAAGACTGAATAGCTGTGTGTTCTGGTTCCCCAGTTCTACTGCTTTTTCATGTTTAGTTCTGAATGGAGTAGCACTCTCTTGGACAGAACTGGTGTGTAATTTGGGTGTCCTGGACCCACAGTTCCTACTCATAGGGCAGGTGGCAGCTGTGCCTAGGGGCCCTTTAACCAGATGTCTAGAACTCCAGCTGTGTACTTGTATTGGAAATCCCTTCTCATAGCCACTCATGCCTTAGTCACCTCACATGTGGACTGTTGCAATGTGTTCTATGCAGGGCAGCCCTTGAAAGAAGTTGCAGCTGGACCAGAATAAAGCAGTGCAGGCAGTTATGGGTGCATCTCAGTAGACCATGTAATCATTCTGCTACACTAATTGTACTGGTTATCAACAAACTGGGTGCAGCTCAAGATGCTAGTTGTAATCTATAAAGCCATTTTTGGCATAGGGTGTAGCTATGTGAGTGATTGCCCTTTTCCCATTGTTTCTGCTCATACAGTAAAAATTGGCAGAGTAGGCATGCTCCAAGCCTCATCTTTAAAACAGTGTCTTCTGCTGGGATCCAGGCAGCATGCCTTCTCTGTAGCGGTGCCTGCCTTCTGGAACAGCATCCCCCGCCCCCCCAATGTCAGAATTACCCCTGCCTGCCATCCTTTAAACTGGCCTTGAAGACCGGGGTCTTTCTGCATGGGCTGGGCTAGGTGTTATCTGCCAGGTTTAGTCCCTGTGTTTTCGCCTTCTTTGGGCTTTTTACTATAATCAATGTTGTTTTCAGTTTGAATGCTGCCCAGAGTGATTACTAATGTAATTTATAAATATAAATATAAGGCAAATACAGTTATCTTGCTATTCAGATACAGATAATTATTGATCAGATAATCCAATTGCCAATGTCACCTGATGCTCTTGAGAAAATACGGTTTCTTTGCTGTTGAAATTAGCTGATGTCCTCTGATGACTGAGCTCTGCCCCTTCTCCATGATTCATCTTGGTATTTAGAGTCACTTTTTGCAGCACTGCCTTTTGCCAGTGCTCCCTCTCTGTTGGCTGATGAAGCTGAATGGCACTTCCAAGAACTACTAGTTTATTAAGGACAAGCATTCTTGGGCTCACCATAACACCATCTAATAGAACCTCAACTATTTTTGGACACTGGTGATATGTTAGAAACACGTGCTTATATTACCAGAGAAAGCAGCGAAATCAGGAAACTGTTGTGCAGGATATACTATGCTAGGGCAGAAAACAGGGCATATTATGCTGGATAGCTAGTAGAAGATGGCAAAGGGTAGGCAAAAGTTAGTGATCACCTAAATACATCTTCTTAGTACTGAGCTGTTCTGGTTACCTAGCTTTATTTTGGTTCTTCTTTGTAGGACAGCAATAATGAATAATGGAAGGACACTTCCCTGTTGGTTTAGTATTAGTTGGCTTGCCAGTGAAACATGTAGGTTGCATGTAGGGGGATTTAAATTTAAGCAGCATCTGAAGATTGCCATGGAAGGCCATGAAAGAGCCTGACATTGTACAGGTACGCTCGATGACACTCACAAATTTACTTGGTTCTGTTCTGCATAATTTATGGACACCTTAACATTTAGAGAACAAAACTGCCTTTCTTGATTAAAGGCAAGTGGTTTGAAGAAATAAGTGTAAGCTGACAGAAGTTGAAGTGAGTATCTGCCACTTGGTTTTATTTTTGAAAGAAAAGTTAAGATGCAGAGGAATTATTGCACGGCAGAGTGTTGATTTAGAATGCTTCCATCTGCGGATTTCTAAGCTGACAGAATTGCCATGAGATAATCTGTGTCGGAGGGTGCGTTCTGAAAATAGCGCTGAGACTAGTTCCATTCATTCATGCCTGGACTGTGACAGATTTCAGCACAGAGTGAAGGAGAAAATGCAGGCCTTGCTTTATACAGCTGCGTCAAAGCTATATACAGTATTAGCAGTGCATATGTGATAGTGCAATAGGGCATGCAGAGGGAGTCGTAGTTCAGAGGCAGGACAAATGTACAATGTTCTCATTTCAGTCCCTAGCACACTCTCCCAGCTTGGTGCTACCGGTTGTGTAGGGATTATTGTACACTAGATTGTTGGATTATTGGATCTAGCTAGACGTTAGATACTAGGATCTAGTATGCTAGATCCTCGGATTTTAGTACCAGTAAATATGGAGGGCATCAAGTTGGAGAAGCCTGCTCTATCATCTGCTGGTTACAGGTTCCTGGGAATAAGGGCTGAGAAATATCTGGTTGCTTCTTATTAGATTAAAGCATATGGGCTAATTAGATTTGAATAGATGCAGTTTTATCCATTCTGCTACTTTGCCATTGGTATCCTGAGATGGGCCATGTTCAGAGTGGGAAACGTTGTGCTCTGCTGCCATGAGTGTAGCAATGGGTTTTACACATTCAAAGAACATGTTGATGTGAGTCCAGTAGTAATAGAACAAATCAGACTAGTACACTGATGATGAAATGAGTGGGAGAAGGGGGACTTTCTGATTCTCAGTTTGACCAGAAACGTTCTCTGGTTAACTATTCTAGTTCTACTATAAACAAGAATTCAGAGTGGTCTGTTGCAAATGATATTGACTGGACTGAAACCTTTGATCAAATGATGATGCATAATACGGGGGTATAATCTTTCACTGGTGATACTTAGTGGCCGTACCTTGTACATTAAAATAAAAGTCCTAAGGAGTTTTATGATAGTCTTCTCCCTTCTCTTCCATCAGAGACAGCCCTGCCACTAGGTATGGCCAGGTAGCCATCTTAGATAACAGTTCTGTAAGGACCGAACTGCAAGTGTTTCAAGACTCCATTGTTTAAGACATGTTGTATAGTGGAGAATGCTTGAGCTTAGTAAATGATCCATCTCAGTTTTTAATATCTGTGATTCTGAATCTTGCAAGCCTGCCCATATCTTCCCTTCTTTCCCCCTTATACTCCAGGGAGTTGGGGTGGGGATCTAGTCTGAGTCTCTTTATAATGCTCTCCTGCCTCTCTAGACTTAACAGATTCCTTCTGCACCTGTTTCCCTAAAGGCTTCTGGATTCCTTCTCCAAGGTCATTTCCTGGCTCCCTACACAAATACCTTTAGCTCATATTTATTATTTCTTAGAAGGCAACTTCCTCTGATTCAAAGTCTGACTATTGCTCCACTTAGCTCAATGTTGGCAACGCTGATTGGCAGCAGCTCTCTAGAGCAGTGTTTCTCAACCTCAGAAACTGAGATTGATAGTTTGTATAGTTCGAGTCCTGTGGAGTCTATTTCCTGGTCTGGTCTACCTTGAAGGACTGACAATTTCCTTGTATTGACTACAAGAGAAAAGGGACAATAGGAAAGACTGTAGGTCTCCGGGGTACAATAGGGACAGCGGATCAGAGCAATTTATCCACTGGGCAGGATGGCAATTTTCAATACACTGAAGCTCCAGGGCTCAATTACAGGAGTCTTTGCCAAGTCCTTATGAACTTTGATCAACACTGTCCAGCTGTCGCAAACTGCTCTTGCCAGAAAATCAGGAACTGCAAGGTCTTCCTCGCACCCCCATCCCCTGTCATTTGAAAGATAAAACTCTTGAGATATCACATTAAAATGCACAGAGCCTCAATACGAACCTCCTAGTGACAGAATATAATTCCACAATGTCTTGAGGTGGGAATGGTATACCAAGGTTTCTGTCCCGATTCATATCCCAAAAAATAAATGTGAGCCATCCCACGAAACTAATGAGATTTCTTGCAGTTTAATATTAGATGTACATGAAATATCTCTGTTCATTTTAGAACCACAGGTCCTAGCATGAAATCAAGCTTTCCTGTTACTCAGTAAATAAAGGAGATAATAATAAAATGTGTACCTTTGCTTAATCTGATTAGTAAAATGAAATGTGCATCAGTGAATGTGGGGCTTTTGTTTGAATTTGCTTTAGAGATGATGAAGAGAAGAAAAAATCCCCTTCTGATGGTACTGATGAAAAGGATAATGGAAACCAGTCCAAGTCGGTCAGTCGCATTGGCAATTCCAATAACCCTTTCCTGGACATTCCTCATGATCCCAACGCAGCTGTGTACAAAACTGGATTCCTGGCACGTAAAATCCATGCTGATATGGATGGAAAGAAGAGTGAGTGTCTTTCAATGGGAACGTCTCTTGCAAGAGAAAATACTGACTGTGGGGAGGGGGGAGGGAGGGGAGTGGTAAATACAGAAATTTGCATGCGTACACTTGCTGCGGGGATGTAAATAAAAGGTGCTGTTACAAGAGCAGTCTGGGAATCTCACAGCCCAGAGGGAAAGCTGAGAAAATGCTTGTGCAAACGTTTAGGAAGGTTAAGGAAAGATAAAGCAGCTGAGAATTGCTCCAGGAGACAGAGGGGGAATTAGCACGCAGTGGCAATGCCTTCCTCCCTGGCTTGATGTTCTTTCTCTTCGCTAGGATTTGCTATTCCCCTCCAGTCCTTTCACTTGCAATAGACATGCGGAAAGACTTCTCTATGATGGAGGTCCAAGGATGAGATTGCTCTCCTGATTAACCTCTTCTTAGTTCAAGCATGCTTGTCATGAAATGGGAGAGCCAGTTTGATGTAGAGGTGAAGGCACCAGGCTAGAAACCGGGAGGCCATGAGTTCTAGTCCTGCCTTAGGCACAAAGCCAGCTGGATGACCTTGGGCCAGTCCCTCTCTCTCAGCCCTAGGGAGGAGGCCAGGGCAAACCCCTTCCAAAATCTTGCCAAGAAAATTGCAGGGACTTGTCCAAGCAGTCACCAAGAGTCAAGATTGACTCGAAGACACCAAATTAAATAAATAAAATATGTTTGTTTAGAATGTTTCTATACCATTGAATAAGAGCCAGTTGGTGTGGTGGTTAAGACACCGGGCTAGAAATGGGAGACGGTGAGTTCTAGTCCCGCCTTAGGCATGAAAGCTGGCTGGGTGACCTTGGGCCAGTCCCTCTCTCCCAGCCCAAGAAGGAGGCAATGGCAAACCCCTTCTGAAAAACCTGGCCAAGAAAACTGCAGAGACTAGTCCAGGCAGTCAACAGGAGTCAAGACTGACTTGAAGGCACCCTGTCCCCCTGCAAAAAAGTCATGAAATGGGCTGGAAGGCTTTCCCAGTGCTGCTTTTCTTACATGCCTCTGCTCACTGCCACCGCCTCAGGTATTCCTTTTGTAGCAGGCAGCTCCAATGAATGTAGGGCTGGTAAATATAGGAAAAGAAGGGATAGATATCGAGTCCCTATTGTTAATATGTGCACTGTTGCTTCTTTAGGCTACCCTTCCCCTGCAAAACTCTTTTTTTAATCTCTCTCTCTCTCTCTCTCTCTCTCTCTCTCTCTTTATTAAGATTTTAATAATATTTTCCTTCTTTTCTGCACTTTTGGCTTCCTCTTCTTTTTTTCTTCTTTCTTTTCTTTATTCTGAATATTAGTTTCTGTTAGTTGTATCAAAACTCTTTATTTTTTAAAGGAAAGGAGGGGCTGAGAAGGGTCTCACAACCAAAAGAGTACATTCCTTATTTATATAACCTACATTATTTTACACAGAATTTGTTTTTGGTGTGTTGTTTTCCTAGCTCCACGAGGGAAGAGAGGATGGAAAACCTTCTATGCTGTCCTTAAAGGAACTGTGCTTTATTTGCAAAAGGTAACACTTTGCTATGAGATACTCTTCTTTCACCTCTTCTTAGCTGGAAAACAGAAGCATTGTTGTCTGTCTTTCTTACGGTTGCTTTGTTGAGTAATGAGTGCACCATGCCCACAAGACAAGTAAGAATAACATGGTCTATGCGTACTGGGTCCCCCGCAAGTAAATTTCCATGCTTACTGAACTGCTTTGGGTTATTTCAAGAAAAAGACAGGGAACACGTATAACTTGGATTTTTCCTCTTGGTAAAGCCAGAAGAAGAATACATTTCCTCTTCCAACCCCAGGAGTTAGATGCTTTGTCATCACATTGGGAAAACGTGCATCTTTTTGCAGCTCTTATAGGAGAACTAAAAGCTTAGAAAAACAGATGATGGAAGTCACAGTCCCCATAATTCATCTTCTGTTGCTTCCTTGAAACACTTACCTACTTGGGGATTGGTTGGTTGATCTTAATAAGGTTACCTTGATGGCAGGTGCTCTGTATCTTGTGTTCCTTAAGATCACTACTAGAATAATCACCAAGTACACTTTACCGTTCCATGTTATTTATGAAGGCAGCAACTGCATACAGCTGAACAGACAATTTGATGTCCTTCAGATATTTTGGGCTTGCCATTAACTATATTGGCTAGGACTGATTGGTCTAAAATGTCAGGAGACTGCCTTCTTATACACATTTACATGGAAGTCAGCCTGACTCACCAAGTCTTGGTTATAAGGTGGGGTAGCCTTCCTGAACATCTTCAAGAGGCTATTTCTCTTTTAAGTGATTCAATAAAAGTGTTCGTTTATCAGTGTTTATACCAAAATTATTTTTTGCTGTTTTTTCAAGAGCAAAAACACAACCATGACTATTATAAAAACTCTCAGGCAAACCACTTTATCTTTTTACTTTTTTAAAAAAACCTGGTTAACAACAGTATTCCTTTCACGGGAATTTTAAAATTATGAATCTGTGAGAGGGCCTAGTTCTCTCTCTTTAAAAAATGCTTAGTGTCTCATCCAACTATAATTCCAGGAATCTCTGGAAGAAGTTACAATAGTTAAACTGGTATGAATCTGAGAGAAATTTCTGTTTGTATGTATGTACATATATAAAGATGGTTAAAATTAAGTCAGTAAAATAGAGTTTTGTTAGCAAATGCCAAATGTTTCTGTTCTAAAGAAAATTTATAAAGACTAATATAGAGATTAAATATATAGAAAATATCTCTTCACTTTATAAAATAATCCTAGTTGTGCTTACAATTAAAATGACCAATGATATTACTCTTTTTATTCACTTTTTTATTCCAGCGTTCACAGCAATGACATCCTTTTTTAAGAGACAGGGAGTGTGGGCTATGAATTATGTTGTTGATGTTATTCTTAGTTAATTCCAAAGTCAAGCATTACAAAATCTGTTTTTCAAATATTGCTGTTAAAAACAAGTATTTTTGCTGATAAGCTTGATCTATTTTTAACAGAGCTCTTTAAGTACACATGAAACTTTGAAAAAATCACCTAGAGTTTCAAAAGGCACCAGATTTTTGTCATGACTCTTCAACTGTTATTTGACCTCTTTATTCTTCTTGAAAAGTAGCTATACGAATTGCTTACTTTTATTTTTGTTTTAATGGTACTCTGTCTTTAAGGTAGGGTTTCCAGCCATGGAAAATGAGCCAAGGAACAGCCTTTCCAAGCATTATTGCTTCCTGTTTCAGACAATGTGGAGAATGCTGGAATCTGCCATTGTGAGGATGTGTGATTGGGATTTCGTTAGGGTGGCCTTTGCCATAGGAAGAGGTGCTCTAGAAACAGTGATTTAAAGAAAGTTGGATGCCAGTAGCAGGTTCTTAGATAATGTTTTCATGGTACAGTTACCTGCAGACAGCATCCACTTTGTACAAAAGAGACTGTTCCTATTTGTTCCACTTTTGTAGTTCTCTCCTTGTAACCAATTTTATCAACTTTTATACAAATTTCACTTGCCAGGTCACTTGTCAATGTCCTCCTCTAGAGCTTGGGAAAAGTTGGGGAAGTCTCCTTCAAACTGTGCTGGTGTTGTCAGGTATACATTACTGCTTTCCACAGTATCTCTTTAGGGAGAATGTCTACAGTCGTCTAAGCAGTAGAGTGTTTGTGAGTAATAGATTAAACCATGGAGAACGGTGCTTGGAAGAGGCTGCTTCCTAAATCTTTTTTTAAGTATAGGAAGAATGGTGTCCATCTCCCTTTCTGTTGAACCTCAAAGTTAATGTGGCATTTTTTTAAAAAAGACCCTTTATGGAGAAACATAGTTCTAACGAAGTGAGTGGCTTCCAGTCATATTTGTGTTACATTAGCATCCTTTTGTGACACAGTAACACCTGATTAAATTTATACGATTCAATTAGAACATATAAAATACTAAAGAAGATACGGGGCTTCATCATTTTCTCCCTTATCTGTCTATCTGAATATTTATCAGCCTGTGGCATGGAATTACATCTTGGACAATCCCACAGCATAGGTTAGGATGGCAATAAGTGATTTGCTCAAGGCCCTGATGGTGATCTTCAGAAAGGATTTAGATCCTGATCCAAATTCAGTACCTTAAAGATACAATGTTGTGGTATGGAATTCATGAGATTAAAGCAACAGCCATGCTAGCTGGGGAATGCTGGGGATGGGAGTCCCAATATATCTCGACAGCACAGAGTTGGAAAAGATTGATCTATATAATTGCCCTTCCTAGTTAGGGGGCAACATTGTTGTGTGAAGAGGAGCCATAGCATGCACTTCTTTTATTTGGTCTAGGGCTTCTGGTATTTCCTGACCCGCAGTGGCTCTCAAACAGCACAGATAACATAAGAGGACTCATAAAATAGCAACTTACATTTCTCCTCCCAGTAATGAAAGCTTATTCAGCTATGGATTTATTTGACAATAATTTGAAAAATCTCTCCTTAGCAAACTTATCTAGCTACAACTCTGCTTACAACACAATATATCAACAAGGTTATTGCTTTGCCCTGAGCTTACATTGTGACCTTGGCACCACTTACTTCTGGATGCTTCTTTCCTTCCAAAACTTTTTATGGTAGTATGAGTAATATCTAGTGCTGTCCCCTTAGAGATCAAGGTCAAAAGATTATTAACTGCAGCAGCTAGAAAAACAATGAATCTGAGATGCCCCTTTTCCTAGAAGAGAATATTTTGCTGAAAAGGAAAACACATCATGGAAAAGGGTACAAAACTGAAAAGAAGCCAGTCACGGCCTTCAAATGCCAGGTGGAACATCACAGAGCTTGCTTTTAAATTCAGTTTCTACCTGGGAAAAATTAGAAAATGGAGAAGAAGCTGGAAGGGGAAATATATGAGACACAGCAGCTATGTGATTGGTCCTCAAGGATGCTTTTAAAATCACACCAAAGAGAGGGGATATGGTATGAGTGAAGCCAACAGTGAACATGGAGCAAATATCTGTGTGAACCAGCCTAAAAATGGGGGACTGAGGAATGGGAAGGCTCTTAAATGGGGTGATTAAATATAGCTTCACATTAAGCACACTAGGTTTGGGCATCTGCAACCTACTTCTGAGAGAAGGAATGGCTTTTGCTTGGCCCCTTGCTTGTTGGGATGCAGTATCTGTCTTCCTTCCTTTTTTCCTTTCTAGAAATGTTAAATGGCATAGGAGGAAAATATAAAATGGGGCAAGAATCTGTAGTTCTTCAGTAACATAGCTCAGAGATGGAAGAAATACAGAGATACACATGATAGATAATATACTGAAAAACTGACTTCCAACATTCTATTCCATTTGCCCAGCATTCCAACAGTAAGTGTGTGTAACTAGTATAGGAGAGTCTTGTTCGTCTGGGAAACTGATAGAAGTGGCTTTGATTCTTAATGGGTGGAATCTTTCCATGGAAATGGCTACAGGGAATGGGAGGATGGAAGTAAATCATGGCATCCTATTTAGATTAAAGAGAGTAAAGCAGGTGTTATGTTCAGGCCAGCTTCTTTCCCTCAGAGTGAGATTAGTGAGGATCTAAGGCTTGGGAATATTCGTATTCCTTGTTGTAGAAACCACTTCCATTGGTCTAAATCAGGGCTCCCCAGAGTGGTCAATATCAACCCCCAGGGGTCAATGGAACTATCCCAGAGGTCGATAAATAGCTGGGGGTCAAAAAGGGGGTCATTAAATGGCTGGGTCAGTAGGTGGTCAATATGTGATGGAAAGTTGATTGGGGACAATTAATCTTTTGTGGTCTCTAGAGCTCATTGCCAATCCCTAACCCTGAAGGTGAGGTAGCTAGTGGTGAGACAGTGTTACCCAGGCTTGGATGGTCAGCTGCCAGCGAGGGTGGCCTTGAGTTGTCTCTCTTGTGGTGGTTATAATTCATAGCACTATTAGTTAAAGTAGTATTTATTAAATTATTTTCATATAATGAATGTTTGGGGGTTGATGAACAATCTGAAACTTCATGAAGGGGTCGATGAGCTGAAGAGTTTTGGGACCCCTGATTTAAGTAAAAAACCACACTGTTGAAATGCCTTGTAATAAGGTTTATGGAAAACTGTCTCCAAGGGACAAGTTTGGGAATTTTCAGCCTTTCAGCCTTTGCTAGAGTTCTCAGCAGCACCAGCCCGAATAGCTGATGATAAGGAATGCTAGAAGTTGCCATACAGCATCATCTGGAGAGACACTGGTCCCCATCCCTGTGTACTGCCTTAAGTGTGATCAATCTGAAATCTTCTTTATAAGAGGGGTAATATGTTGCAGATCTGTAGTTAATGGTCCCTGAGTTTCAGTGCTGAATCAATTAAATATTTAGGACTCCATTTATTCTGTTCTATAGTTAAGGTTAATAGGAAGGGCACAGTGAGACAAATTCAGACTGAAAATTAATCTTGGCCTACACATTATGTACACATCGAAAGAACTACCAAAACTTATTCCTCTTAATGATTTTGTCATCACATTAAATTCTTTGTTTAAAAGCTTTATATGGAATTTCATAGATAAGATCAGAG